ATTTAAAGATATATTTAAATGTTTTAACGTTTTTGGTCGAGTCTATTGGCAACGTATGCTGGAGATATTTTAATGCACGAATGTGTACGCAGATTCAAAAGTACATTATCTCTTCTAGTACTCTCGTGTTCCAACGGGTCGGGTGTCCATCATCAAAACATCTTAACTTTTAAACATATTAGTCAGCGTTTTTATTATTATGTCAAGTAAGTTAATAAATATTTAAATTGTATAAATATTTTCATGATTTATTTTTATATGCTGAATACAATAAACGTTGGTACCATATTTGTGTTTTAATATTCAGGAGAGGTATTTTCGATGGCGAATAGAGTTGAACTCGTATAGTTTTAACTGGCGGAATAAAATTCCCCGCGTGCAAACTGTGAACTAAGGGTAAGGACACGTTGCAAGGTGTAGATATTATTATATAGCTGCTTACCACGATTTGTACGATATATAAAGGAAGGATGTGTTCTTTTAATTCAATTGATCAAAGATTTACTTTCTTGATCCGTGCTTACTCGGAAATACCTACTACGGATATATTTATATCATCTAGGATAAAAAAAAATTTGTGGCGCTACAACCTCTTTAGGTATTGGCCTTAGATTTCTGAATCTGTTTCATGATAATTTTTAAATCTAATAGGCAAGTAGGTGATCAGCCTCCAGTGCCTGACGCACGCCGTCGATTTTTTGAGTCTAAGAGATGTCGGTTTCCTCACGATGTTTTCCTTCACTGTTCGAGCAAATGTTAAATGCGCACATAGAAAGAAAGTCCATTGGTGCATAGCTCGGGGTCGAACCTACGACCTCAGGTATGAGAGGCGTACGCTGAAGCCACTAGGCCAACACTGCTCTTTTTTTAGCATCTAGGATAAACTTATGGGTCTCATTACTCAAAACTGTTGTCTTTTCGTTATTCCTCTACTTTTGTTAATACACCATGAAATATGATCGAAAGCGATCCAGATTTCCGCTCCGCTCAGCAAAGTGGGCGCATCCTCGCAAAGAGCGGGACGTGTCGTGCGTTACAAACACGAGGTACGAAATTTTATCGTCGACATCCGTTAAACAAATAGCGCTAAGTAACTCACACGTCAGCCAATAACTTCTCTATTTGTTACTCCATACCTTGAGAAAACCGAGAAATACTAAAGGTTACCTTTAAACTGTGCATAGACTCTTTTATTTTTATATGTCATTAGAAACATTAGTACGTAGAGTAAGTCTGGTCACTTCCGAACTGCTTCGCATCACTTACTACTGGGTCCAAAAATGACCAAAAACAAATATCTTGCGAGCAGCTTGCCTTTATAAACGGCATTCACAAAAGATTTTTTAGTATTCCTGAATTATGGAATTAAAAGTTTTCTTTAAAATTTCTTGAAGAGATTATTTACTGGCTTTCATCACGCGACCATTTCAAGAAGAGTGGTATTTAGTGGTATATGCGAGACAAGACATTTCGTGACTTACTGAAGTTTTTGTTATTAATCAGAATTCTTACAGAATCTAAACAACATATTTACGTGATTGATAAATATGTCGTAGTTAGTCCTAGATTAATCTGCCTACTTAGTATATTGTTTAGATTTTAATAAAATAGTTGATTGTTTTAGATTCATTATATTTGATTAATCATCGCTTTGGCATACTTTTAACGTCCATTGTTAGATATAAACGTAGATAGTTAATTTGTGTGTAAGATTTAAAATAAATGTACTAATCAATCAAATGATAGCATTAAAAGTCGGAGCAATTGGATACATGACTGTTTCAATTTTAGTTATAATAAACTTATGCTTTGCGTGACATATTAACAATAATATGAACTATCACAGATTCTGTAATTCTAACAGTAACATTAGGAGGTGTATATAATAATTTAAATGTTAGTACGGGAAACCGCAGGCAAATTAGATATATATGCGTTATTAATGTACAGGCCAGGCATATTAAAGCCCAAACTGACAATTTTAACTGCATTGAATGATAATAATTGTTCACGTTAACATTCTATACAATCTTTTGCGATTTAACATACATTTACCATGGAGAGTGTTCGGAGGAGTTGTTCGGATTAATACATGCAGCTGAGTTTCATTATCGGGTGTCGAGGCAGAATACGAAATTCCACCCATATAACCTCGACGGCGGACCGTTCCACAACTGAGCGTTTTTCAAGGCAGTTTTTGCCGCGCACCTCCACTATGTGGAACCAGCTGCCCACTGAAGTATTTCCGAACCAATTCGGCTTAGGGTCCTTCAAGAAAAGAGCGTACCAATTCTTAAAAGGCCGGCAACGCAATCGCGAGCCCTCTGGCATTGAGAGTGTCTATGCGGAGGTACCACTTAACATCAGGTGAGCTCCTGCCCGTTTATTATTTATGTTTATTATTTATTTTACCTACTCACTCGCTTACTCGTACTAGATGATTAAATCCTCGTGATTCGTATTACTTGGAGGCCTGGGGTACAATATGTGGTGAAACGGCGATTAATTTATTTAAAAGGCTAGATGGCTGGCTGATCATCCATCTATAAAGCCTTAAAATATCACGTAACTATAAGACATTTAATGCATAACAGCTAAAGCTAGTGTTTTGTTCGTGAATTTAAGGTGGTGGGTAAAAGGGTGGATTGTGTTTGGCATTCTATGATGTTTAAAATAATGATTTTTCTGATTTCAAAATGCATAATTATTATTGAATTTTCTGTCATACGTCCATGCATTTTTTGCAATCTTTTGTTTACAGTTTTTATGCTCTTAGCACAATACATCTATCTAATTAAAGGCTTGTCTCGCTAAGTGAATTAAATACCATAATTAGTGAATGGGTTACTTAGTTAGAAACTATCGATGTTTAACACCGGATATTAATTCACTTGTTTGAGGTGTCATTTCATGCAAATAACAAAGTCATGTGGGTTTAGATATATCAATTAGATATATTGTAACGCAAATAAATATTCCATGTATAATTCAATAGCAAACGTATCTACGTTAGCAACTACTCCAACGTCGGTTACGACTATTAGAGCAATTTTTGCAACATCTTCAACAAAAACCTTTATTTTATATAGTTATTATAAATTACAATTATTTATAATAACTATATAAAATAAAAGGTTTTTATTTACAATAAATATTTCTTTAACCTCCTATCCTTGGTTCCTATGAACCACTAATATAATAAGGTAATTTTCGGTTGTAGATAAAACCATAGGAGCGTTGTTACTTAAAATGCAATTGCCATAATGTATTGAAATGGCCTCGAAGAGGTAGATATTTATTTGGATATGGATTAACAACAAAGGTACGAAAATGTGGCCTAGCTTATCCGTATTTGATGTAGGGATTTTATTGTTTTTCACACCATGTTATCGAAGATTTCACCTCTGCAAACTGCAGCAAAACAGTAGGCTAGCAAAATTTATGATTTTACCCGCGCATCTCCCTTCGCCCGCTTTAGTGACACACGCAACGTAACAGCGCGGTCGCGTGTCTATAGTAGTGCAAAATGAACGGTGCGTAGTAGGTATATACAATACTATATTGCATATATTGAATACAATTTTAATATGAGGTTTACTTAACGAGTGCCAGATTAACTACGTGGAAAGAGTAGCCCTATACCAAAGGAAGCACGCCGTAAGCGAACCTACTCATTGGGCCTAAGCGTATTTATTTGTAATCGTCAGAGCCGAACATTATCTATACTAACAAATATTATAAAAACTTAAAACTAATATTTTTTTTAGTTTGTTTGTAAGGGTAATCTCTAGAACTACTAAAACGATTCTAAATTTTTTTTCGATAATGATGACACTGTCCGTGTGCTATTTTTATTTTTTATTTGCTAGCAAAAAAAAATTTGAAATAGATTTTTTCGTCTATTGTGTTTAACTATTCATCGCTTATACATTTTATACGTGACAAACCGCTAAATCGCTTTGGAAATTAAGTTGAAAATCTTGAGATTATGATGAATTTTCTATAATTCGTGCAAGAGTTAAAATACAATATAACGCTTCTATAATATGACATCATCTTAGATAAAATTAATTGCAGTTCACTTCTAGCAAAATTGCACTTTTATGTTTCTGCCTACCAGTCTTGTCTTGCATTGTTTCATGTTCCTCACATCAACACCAAGTATGCAAAAAACTCAGTTTTGTATCGCGCAGCCCGGACATACACTATTTAAGCCTCGACTTGGAAGGAAGAAAAGGAGTATTAAGAATAACATGCATCATGACCATATCCAATATACACACCCTCATATATACACCATCACACAACTTTATATTTATTTAATATTTATATAGATTTTTTCCTTCCTAAGTTTCGTAAATGTTTGAACCTTTTTGTAGTAAATACATATTCCATTTTTGCCAATATGTGTAGTATAATTGTTTTTTGTTGTATATAATATAAGTTAGCTGTAGGAGTATGAAATAAATAAATAAATACGGATCCCTAAATTTATTGTTAATTTTATTTAGCGTAAAGGATAACAGGATTTTAATGGCGAAAATTTAAATCAGCCTAATAGTTTAGGACCTTATCGCAAACAAACGATCAAATCTTTACTCTTTACAATATTAGTTTTAAATAAACTGTTGTCTGCTCATGCTCGTCAATCAACAACTTTAGTATCTTTTCTTACGCAGGAACAGGACATTCTATAAATTTACAATATCCTTTAAAAGTTTTAAGTAACTTTATGCCGAACTAAAGCCTAGTTTTACTATTTTTTAAATATAGGGGCGACTTAAGAATGTATTCCTAAAAACAGAAAAACATTTGTTATCACATATATAAATATATAGGCCTGCACAATCGAGAGTGAAAGTGAAAAAAGTTGTGAAATAGTATCTGCGACGTTTTCAGCATGAAATACAGTGCAGTTATGAGCGTGACAAAACAAACGCAATTACATTTGCAACTGTTGACTAAACAAAATGAGAATAGTAGTTTTTTAATTATACATCATGGAGGTGATGCTCGCACTGTTGCTACTCCAATTTCCTCTAACAACTTGTTCACCACTCCGAAGTAACCGACCTGTGATCAGGTTAGAAGCTTATAAGACCACACTTGAGAAAGGGCCTTGTAGAGATGGTAGATGCTTAAAGCTGAATAAGGTTCTGCAAAGTGAGGACACAACGACTAGCACGGCACCACCTACTGTCGGCACCAGAAGACTTACAACGACGCCTATAGATATGGAACGATGCGCTAATGTTGCTAAGTGTAATGTAAATATATGGTATGATTAATATTCTTTTTATTTTGTTTATACAAGTTCAGACCGTCAGTGCTTTGAGAGTTGTGTTCGCGAAGGTAATGAAAAAGGATTTTGTTTTTTATGAAAATGTTAAGGTTATTAGACAAAATATAAACAAATCATTAATAAAAATATGAAGTATTATAATCTGATATTCTGTATTTATCATAATTTAAAATAGATTGGTTTTAGTAATTAATAAATATTATTTTTTAAATGATTATTATCACTGAACAGGAAATCTTATAATTGATTGACATACATATATCTTAATCCGTGTTTTTACCGATTTATAATAATACATTTTTGGATCTTTTTATATTTTTTTCTACTATTATTCAGTATTGATACAGTGGCGTTCGACTCTTACTAAACACCGGCTGTCCATTTATGAAGAGAGAAGTTTGATCATCTACTCGCCCTTTAAATTATTGATAGAAACTTTTTATTTTAAACTTATACATAATAATCAAACGCATTGATGTAACGAAGAAAATAGTGAATCAAGGTGATTTTCAAATAAGAAATTATATCATAAGATTAGTCTTACGACAGTAGTAAAAAGACTTTAAGAGTCATTTTAACAAAATCACTGTCAATCTTAGATGGACATACCATACCTACATATCACTTCCTTAATCCTTTGGAAGCTTCGACACGTCTTGCTGCTCACGTCATTTTTCGTGGAGACGCGGTAAAAAACCTGTCCATATGAAGAACGGATTTACCCTTGTCAAGTTTCAGACGGGAGCTGTAATAACTGAGGCCAACCGAGATAAAAGCAATTCAGACCATTTCAACGCTACTAGTTAGCGAGGAATTTGAAAAAAAAACTGTGACCATCGAAAAAAGTACTATTTCAAAGTCCGTTAAGATTTATGATTATTATATTTAAATACAGTAAGAATTCTCACAATAACGATATAAGTTGGGTATATAATAGTATCATTCAATATCTCAAAAATGTATGTGAATGTTCAAAGTCTATCTGGCAATCCTATTATGCTAGGTTTTCCTTGTAAATATCGACACATTGCGATGCCTCTACAAATGTAAGTCACTCTGGTGGAAGGGTTCATCTCATATTCAAATTCCCCATGAAGCTTATTTTTCACAGTTTCTTTCGCCGTTGCTTCGTTTAGGTTATTTGTTACATTTTTATTATCTAATACATCAGGAATACATCCAAAAATATCATCTTCATACGAATCTATGCCGCAGATCGGCATATACGTTTTATCCGGTTCTAATTTTCTAAAATTCTTACTAAATATATTCTTTGATGATTTGGTTAATGACCATGGCGTTTTAAATTTAATAGGATTGACACAAAACAAATACATTACACACAACAAAATTGTTAATGTTCGGCTATTTCTCATCACGTTTTAAGACATAACAAACGTGTAAATTTAATCAGACATTCCTAACTTTATGATTGATTTTTATTAATAAAAAAAACAATATTTTCTTGAGTGCAGAGAATGATAAATGCAACACAGTTAAAGTAGTTTAGACAATTGAACATTATTATTTCTAACTTATAATAATGTGCAGTCAGTATCTTGAGCCTGTCAACCCTGGGCCTTATCGGTGGCACTGCACTATTGGAAATCTTCTTTCTTTTTTACGATTTTTAAATGCAGTTGAAACACAAGGTAAATAATATGTGTTAATACAAGAGCCGAGAAAAGCAGCTGCTTTACCCGTATCACCCGTGACGGACTGTCGACCGGGTTATACCCGCCCCACATTTGATGCGCCGTCTTATTTTTAGTAATTAGGGTTTATTACAAGAAAGTTGCCTAACAATTTAAAACAAAAATAAATACATATTTAATTTCACGCCTAATCCAGGCTAACCAAACTGATTTAACATTGCGAGAATAAACATTAAAATTCCTGATATGTATGGCGTTAAGCAGACGTTACTTTATGGTAAAATATTTAACACAAGCGCAATTAGATAGCGGATGTGTTGTTGACGTATGAAATGCACTCAATTTTAGTCAACAAATTCCTTGTTCATAAGGCATTTTACTTTTTTGAAGTGAAACTTCTTTATCGAGGTTGGAAAAAAATTTAGTGTAACATTTTTTCGTTACGCGTCACATTTTTCGGTTACGCGCCATGTTGCTTTTTGAAGTCAAACTTCTTTATCGGCGTTGGAATGAAACTTCTTTATCGACGTATGGGAGAAATTTTGTAGCAAATCGTCACGTTTTTCAATGATAGTAATAATTCTATTACAATTAATGAAATTCTATAATAATCTTCGTAGTAATAAGGTAAAATGAAATATTTGTATTCATGTCTATGATAATAAAAGCCCTTTGTTAAACTTTATCTAATTTAACGAATTTCTGTAAAGTTGCATATAGTAGATCATTTTTCGAAAAATAAGATCATAAAGAAGTTTCACTTCTTACGTGTGTACACCTAGTACACGCACAATTTATTTAATATTTCCACTTAACTTGACTTAACAGTATCAGAGAAGAAGTATAAGTCTAATAACGAAGAATAAGAAACTAAACTAAACAACTGATACGCGTACTTACTGGAGGATGCGAGAAAATTATTTTTCTTTTCAAGTGCAAGTGAAATATTGGAAACCTCATAGGATGATGATAAATTTACATTGAATTATGATCAGGCGATACGGGAAACTTGAGAAGTTAGAAAGTGCAAACTATCCTGAAACTTGCATTTTGCGTAATTGCTTCTAGAATATACCTAAAATAAAACTAAATTGATGCTTTGAGCTTGTAAGGAACATGACAAGGCATTAACGTAAAATTTGAAGAAATATATTTATTTTTATTTTTTTAAGAAATAGGTTCTATTCTAAGTATTTCATAATAATTGCTTTAAACATCCCAACGTGCAAACGCTAATTAGCCAATTAAGATTATCTATAGCTATTTCCAAATATTTATAGTCATATATTTGTATATTAAATAATAATTATAATAATATAACACAGAGAGACGATGTAACCTATACAATAGGCTTTAGTATATAGATGACATTTTCTTCACTCATTAGTCTCCCGTGCCTAACACACATCGTCGATTTCGTATATAGAAAAAAGTTCAATTGCCAAGGGTTCGAACCCGTGACACCTTGTCCTAAACAGATGAAACACTGATCTCCCGATTCGTCTGTTTGGAATTCATAGAGACAATTATTTCCTTCAATTTTATAGATTTCGGCTCAAAATATTACATTAGTGATATATTTTGAAATAACTATTGTGTGTGGATCACGTCAGAGGACGTAATCCGCAAAAATATTTTGACTAAAAACTATAGATGAAACACCAAGTTATCTTTTTTCCTTTCAGATAACATTAAATTCAAATGACATACAATTGTAATTTTTTATTGATTCTCATTAATTATGATAGCAGTGGTTATCTCTAATTAATTAATTTGTACGTACGTCGAATGATAAAAAATATAAATTATTAACTACATGTACCTTATATCTAGTTTTAGTATCTGAACATTGAAAAATAATCTTTTAATCTAAATTGAGTTATAATGCTTACATATTTGTATTTGTTGTGAGCATGATCATCAACAGGTTGAAACTACGAAGTTCTCCGACTGAAGTACGCCGCAGGTTACTCGTGGTTCTATCTGGTTCGAGCCTGAGGCTTCAAGCTGTTGGGAGCTGGAATCCGCGACCTTTATGTGACTGAAGTATCGCAACAAGCACACAAGCACGAATTTCTTGCATCATTTACATAACGAGTGCAGCTAAATGTTGTCTTAAAAATAAATTTGTCTGAAAAGCTTACCATTAATAAACGAAACGTCACGATATTTTATAATTTGACTAGTCAAAGAGCTAATTTTAACGTGTTTTAATATATAAGAACTCTTCAATTAATATGTTGATAAAATAGCAAAGGTGTTTGTAAGTTTGTATGTGAATTTGTATTATGTCTTAAATAAATAAATTAAAACTGCTATTAGACGCGCACATTTTGTTTTAAATGCATTTCACGTTAAAGTTTAAAGAAATAATTACTATACATACTTATAATAGTATCAATCGCTTATACTGGGCTTATAAGGCGCAACTGCGTTTCTCTGTGAATACAAAAGAAACAACATTTAAAGTCTATATTCTAGGTTTTATAAAGTAAAATAATATAATGAAAAAATTTAAATATCTTACACATATTATGTCAAGTGACATAAATTAAACATCGTCGATCAGACGGCAAAGATAACATTACAAAAGAGTTTATATAAAATACAATATATACAAGAGTTTGTATAGGAAAATATATTATGTTTTCCTTACATACATAAACAATACGTTACATGCTACTAAGTTGATTACAAAAATAAAGAAAAATTACCAGGTTTTCAAATAAATACACAAGCAGTGAAAGTATGATTGCTCTTACACTAAGACCTTTTCTTGATTATTAAAGAAAGTCATCAGAAGCACTTTGTTTCTGAAATCCCTTAATTAGTCAGCACGAGTTCTATGCAAATCACTTGTTATTTACAATGTTTCTCGTTAAACTAATAGATGTTTAAGAAACATTTTGTATGGAATAATATAAAAAAAAACATTATTATGTTGTATTAAATTAGTATCAAATTGAGGGTTCAACTCTGACTCTGTTACATCTGGCCAGTAGCCCTACACTGCTGTTAGGCGTGAACTATTAAGCAGACACAAACTTTTGAGATATGTTGTTCCCGTCGCAATGCTTCGCATCAGCTGGATCCAAAGAGTGACGAATGAAAGAGTCTTATAACGAATCGAGACGACACGAAAGTTTATGCAGACAAATACGGAAAGTTGCTTATCTCGGACACGTTAAGCGTCATCATCGATATGATTTGTTGCAGCTGATGATGGGCAAAATTCAGAGACAAGAGTCGGGCTGATCGAAGGAAGAGGTCGTGGTTGCGGAACGTATGGAACTGCACCGGCATCACATTCGCCGAGGAGCTTTTAGAGTCG